GACGTTTCCCACAGAAAGGTAAAACAAACAGCTGATTTTGTTTGATCCTAGTGAATCGTGTGTTACCTCTTCCCATCGTGTCAGCTGGAGCTAAAACCGACAGTGAGAGATAGTTAGTGGTATAAAGAAAACTACGTCCGATGCTGGGTTTGACTGAATGAGAACGACAGCCACACTGATCTGCTAATTTCTCTCTACTGACTTACAGCTGTACGTTTTTTCACTTGTTATCGATGATCGACAGTTACTTAAAAGAAGGGTGGCCTCCTATTTCTTACTTTTTGTCTCGCTTGTTACCTTTGTATGGACCTCTACCATATCAGCCTCATATATCGCAACGCAAAGGGTACGAGCATTGCACTATCTAATTCGCTGGTTCATTGTAGTACAGTTGCCCGTTGAATCGGTTCGCTCTGCTTCGAGCCGCTGTGAACAGTTAACTAGCTGGCTAGCAGTCTGGACAGGAAAGTGTTAGCAACTCTGCATGACGAGGGCGTGGGGCCTGGTCACTGCTAACAGCCAGGGAGTCCAAAGAGATAGGGCCTGCTGCATGCCCCTGTGTGCTGCACTGGCCGCAGCAGTGGCTTGCCGCCTGCTTTGCCTTCCCACAGGAGTGTCGGCTTTCTGGCGGGTCCAACAGTGAAGCCTGCCTTTCAAGTAAGGGCCTGACATTTGGCTAGTCAGCTATCGGTAGTACGCATGCGCGTTGGATAGTACGCGACCGGCAGACAGAGGATCGTCGGTGGTTGGGAGGTCGGCGTGTTCGACTGGGCGGCTGCGGGTAGTGGCTGTTCGGGATGCTCGGGATGCCTAACCAAGAAACGGACCAACGAACGGAGGGACACACGCACAGTCCGCACAATTGGGTCAGTCGTTGTCTGCCCTGGATAGTGTCCTTTCGGGGGAGAGGACACGATTGGGTGTGAGAATGTGGTGGAGGTGGAAATAGCGGCAGGAGGAAAGGGCAGGGCCCTTAAGATGACGAGGCCCGAATTGCGCGAGGGCCCAGGTAGGTGGCGCTTGTGCAGCATCCTCATCCCGGGCTTCAAACGGTCGGAGCATCAGCCAACGTCGCAGCCCGCCACGGCCAGAGCTCACCGGCCCCAGAGAGCCACGTTTCGGCTAAACCGACCGCCTGACCGCTCGCCCGGCGTAGCCAGTTCGGCTTGCCGTTGCCGTCCAGCCCTGTGAGTCTAGTCTCGCCGTGGTGTCGTCGTGAGTGATGTCGGAGCGGCTGGCCCCACTGCCCGCGCCCGCAGCCTCGGCCATCTGCTCCCGAGGCTCTCGCCATCGCCCCAGCCGTCCCCGTAACGACACCTGGCAGCGCCGCGCGCGATCACAGCAAATCGCAGCCGGACTTGCAGCCCCCGACGCAGCAGCAGCAGCAACAACAACAACTCGCTGCCGTATAGGAGCTTAGCGGCCTATCATCAGGGTCGGCACGCTACTACCATTACCACGCGACAGGTCTGTTCACCAGCCTTAGGTTGTAGGTCTACCAGTTATAGGCTGTTCGTGCGGTGTGTGCCTAACGGTGTCGCGTTGCTGAGGTCCTCCGAGTGGGCTAAAAAGCTGAAATCGGCCACAGTCGGTCCCCAACACGCAGGCGAGTCGGTGCAAACGGAGCGGTGGCCGGTCCAAACGCGGACTTGGCGGCTGCGTCAGCAGGTCAACATAAAAAACAAGCTACTTTTACTACTTCTTATATCACCAAAAAACAACCATTATTACAAGAAATCACCAATATAGACGCAACCAATAGACATAAAAAAGCTACCAGCTAACAAGCAACAACATTGGCGGCAGCAGCAGCAACAGGACGAACGTAAACGACAACAGCTAAAAATAAAGTAGCAGGAACAACAACAACGACGACGACGACGACGACGACGACGACGACAACAGCAACAACAACAACAACAACAACAAAAACAACAATAACAATAGCGACAATTTGTACAATAGTATGATCCACAACGACAGACAAAAAATAAGTCCGTGCCGACAGTTCTACCCCAGTACGAATTCGTATAGTAATACAAATACCCCAACGATTAGTGCAATTGCATCTATTGGCAACGCCACTTTATTGGCAAGAAAATCGATCTTTGGTGAGAAATCGTTGCAGGAATACCCGACGTCGATTATATGTGTCGAGTGCGATCAGTCTCATGTGTTGAAGACGTATAGCAACCAAAACGATACCAAAAGTCAAGGTAGCAACACGCGTTGCCGCCGTCAGCTACGACAAGAATCGAGCAAGGGGGCAAAGAACAAGTAGAAGTGGACCGACAAGGGCATTAACGCCAACATTAACAGCAACAGGATCTGTAACAGAAAGGAGGGCGACGATCACAGTAAGAAAGCAGCAGCAGCAGCAGAAATAATCGCAGCAGCAGTCGCAGCAGGCAGACAACAAAAGTGGCAACACGAGCAGCAAAAGAAAAAACAAGGTAGCTGTATACGTCAATAACGGCGCGAGTAAATGAAGACAAAACAGAAACACCTGTAATAACAACAACAGTAGTAGTAGTAGTAGTAGCAGCAGCCATAGTAGAAGAAAAACGCGACGGTGCCAACGTTCGAGTCGAATGACTGTGTATTTTGTTTATTAGTGGTAAATTGCTGTTTCTACGATTCGTAGTGTGGTGGGGCTGTTGCTCCTTCGTTCCTGTTCAAATTGGGAATTTTTCTTTTGATACCGTCGCTGGCAAGCATTCGAAAGTGTCGTTCATTTTTGCTCGCCGGGTGTCACATGTGGTCACCGCAGGCGGTGATGTGCTGTATTCCGTAAAGCAGCTGTTCACGTAAGTACGCCGTCGAACGGTGTGGCAGCTGAGACGCGGGTCGATTGCTGTCGCTCTTTCTTTGTCTGTTGACCACTGCCGCAACACAGCGGACACCACTGGGGGCCAACAACGTGTCGAGGGCAGCACAGATGCCTGGTAGCACTTAGGACACGTATATTCGCAGGACACCCGTCTGTGTCCACGATTCGGTTCTATCCAGATTAGCCACTGCTCTGCCAAACATATTAAGAGAACTGCCGACATCGTCGTCGCCGCCGCCAACGGCATCGTAGCTGCCTGCCGCGTCACCCTCGCTGCTGCTGCTGTTTCTCCTCCTTTCTTTTACCGTTCAAGCCCAGTACTGCTACGACGGTTAGCACAGCCTAAAAGGCCAACAGAATCGCTTATGTCCGGCTGAGCCTGTAGGTCCTAAATAGTCTTTTGTTTTTTAGTCGGTCAGTCTCGGTGAGTGAGTGAGTGAGTGAGTGAGTGAGTGAGTGAGTGAGTGAGCGAGTGAGTGAGTGTGTCCTAGTGGTCGACGGCCCCTCTCGCTTGGCCCGGAACGTTGATTCTTCGCTGCTCTTCTCAGTTCCTCTAATTCTTCCTTTTTTGTTTTTTGTCCTTCCTGCTGTTCTACGCCTGTTCAACTCATTGGTCGTCTTCTAGTCTGGCGTCCCGGGAAGAGTTTTTCTGGTTCGAAGACTGCCTACACGACTGTTGAGTTCTCTACGACTGCTACTATCGTTTTGCGCTGCGTTTACTCTGCTCATCGTAGAGTTGAATTTTACTTAGTTTCTTGGCCAGCTCGTAAACGTTGAATATTCGTTCCTATCCTCAATCAATTGATACTACATTTGATTGTGTTCAGTTGCTGCCAAGAACCCGCCCGTTCAGCCTACCTAAGAAGGCCCGCAGGAAAATTAACAACAACAAAAAAAAAGAGAAAAAAAGTAAGTAAGCTATAGAGCATTGTACATGAAAGCAAACCAGCCTGTCGCCGTCGCCGCCGCCGCCGTCAACATCAGCTGCAACAATTACAAGTACGATAGGCAGCAAAACTAGCCGACGTATTCGAACGACCTGGACTTTCGCAAAACGGATAGAAAAGGGCTTCTGGCCAGTTAAACTCGACGTATGTATCGGCGTGCACGTGGTTCCAGCGAAGCAGCTGTCGTCGGACGATGGATCAACCAGGACCGACTATAATAAGTGCAGTGGCTAGAAGAGGTCAACTACCATGTAGCTAACAGCCTCAATTGAGTTACTCATTATGAACTCTAGCGGATGAAGCCGAAGGCGTGGCGTCACACCGAAAACGTCACGACGGCCTTTTCTTCGCCTTTATACTGTTGTCGATCAAATGCAGTTGTTGAACTACTCTGTCCGTTTCAATAAAGTTGCGTTTTAACAACGCGGCCATTTAAAGCAAGAAGAACTGTTCGACTCTGCCCTTACAAGTCACTCGCGCGTGGCTCAGACCTGTCTTTTGTTGTTTACCATCGACGTCAATCTGTTCGTGATTGTTGTGTACAGTGCACTGTTAAAAGCAGTAGTAATGTTCCGTTGTGTTCCTCGTCGATGACGATTATTAATCATATATGTTACATAGTTGATATATCATTTCGTGACCTATTCTAAAAGTACGCTACTCCACTGGCGGGGAAGGAGCTAGGGCAAAACGAGACAGGAAAGGAAGCATGGTTAACAAAAGTCCTTTGCACCGGCCATTCGTGGCAGAAGATAGGCTGATGCAGCATAAGAAATGACAGCGGAAGCAGAGCTCAATGTAATGCGCCACTTCATTGCCATTACAACTCTATAATTGCGGATCAGATCACTTTCAACTATCGTCATCGTCATCATCGGCATCAGCATCATTCGAATACCAATTCCACTACAGACAGGAAGGGAGGAACTATTGCTTACCTAGGAACATACATATACTGCTGCTAACTATATATCGACTATATATCGACATATAGACACAAATACTTTGCACATCGTGGTAGTGTGGTGGTGGGGGTGGTGGAGGTGGTGGTGGGGGTGGTGGTGGCGGCGGTGGTGGAGGTGGTGGTGGTGGTGG